TAAAGTCAAAATGTCTGACATGAAAATAAATAACTAGAGCTTTTTACAAATAAGCAGTGTTTACTCAGAGTGTTTAAAAGAACACTGAAGGGTGGATGGCTTCCAAAGATTGTACTTAGAGGAATAAAATATAACTCATTAGTTTGGTTTAGTAGAAGTTAAATTATAAACCTCATTTTTTCCATTTTTGGTTCAATGGTTATAATGCCAAAGCAAGTTAGTTTAAGTTACTCACCTTTAATGACAGCTTTTATTTTTGTTGTGACAGTTTCCCATGAATGAAATGGAATTTCTTTCTAAAGAAGAGTTAAGAAGAAAGATGTTATGATTACCTTTGGGAGGAAAGAGTTTATATTTCAGTGAGCAAAGGTTGCATGAATTGCCTGCAGCTTTGTTTGAATTGACTGAGTTGGAGGAACTTCGTCTGTCAAAGAATAAACTTACAACAATACCTGAAAATATTGGAAAACTAAACAATCTTGTGTTACTTGATGTGAGTACAAACCAGCTGTCCATATTCCCTACAAGTGTGCCTCAGATGAAAAAACTCAGAGTGCTGTACATCTCACGAAACAAACTAACCACCATCCCTGATGGTATTGGGGAGATGGTGCAGCTGGAGGGACTGGGGCTGAGTTACAACCTGTTGACTGTGTTCAGTCCAGCTATAAAACAGCTGAAGAAACTCAGAGTGCTAGAAATCTCACAGAACAAACTAACCAGCATTCCTGATACTATTGGGGAGATGGTGGAGCTGGAGATACTGTTGGTGAGTGACAACCAGTTGACTGTGTTGAGTCCAGCTATAAAACAGCTGAAGAAACTCACATGGCTGTTCATCTCACATAACATTAACTTAAACCACCATCCCTGATGCTATTGGGGAGATGGTGGAGCTGGAGGAACTATGGCTGAATGACAAGCAGTTGACTGTGTTGAGTCCAGCTATGAAACAGCTCAAGACACTCAAATATTTGTCTGTGAGAGGGAATCATTTTACAGTTGAAGGAATGAGAAGTGTTATGGAGCTAAAGGATAAGATTGACAGAGTATATTCAGATGTCCCAGGTGAGTAAAGGAAATTCCTTTTCACATTATTGTTGTGACATGTTCATTTACTAAATTGGTTCTGATGGTTGACTTGCAAGTGGTTATGCCGCTTATTACTGATAATTACAGGCAGCTGACAATAGTTTCATAATATTAGCTTGAGAAGAATATGAAGTAATGCTTTCACAGTTATACTGTATGATCGAACAAAGTTTGCATCACTTAACAAATAAATGACATTTGTACTGGAAATTTTGGTTATATTTTGGAAGGTTTATTTTAACAACTTGGCTGACATTGAAATTTAAGTTGAACTACAGTTGAGTGTACTATAAATTGATAGGGAATTGAGGAGGGATAAAGTTTATTACAAATCATTTTACAGTAAGGGATTGTTGTAAGTTGTAATTTTTGCTTTCTATAGTTGATTGGAATGTAAGAAGTTTATTGCAAATCATTTCACAGTTGTAGGAATTGCTGTTGTAATTTTTGCTTTCTGTTTATTTGATTTTAATTAAGGAAGAATTAAGTTTATTACAAATCATTTCTTATCTTGGAAGAGTTGTAACTGTAATTTTTGCTTTATTTTATTGGCAGTTATTAAGCATAATTTATATAACAACATTTAGCTTATCATACAGAATTGATGGACCGATATGATTTTAAAACGAGAGTTTAGGTTATGGGAATAAAAGTTTTGTCTTAAGTGGTCAGGAGTAATTTTGATAATTAATTGTTACACCATAATTTATGCTGGCCTTGTAATATTTTAAAATCTATCAGTTGTTACCTTTTGGGAATATGTGATTTTTCTTTCTGTTTTCCAGACACCATTTGGCAGAATTGACATCAGTTATTGCCTTAACTTTTAGTGTTTCATTTCATTGAGTCAGTTTATAGTAGTCATGTGTACTATAAACCAAACCCACCAATGCAATGACTCTTGCATGTATGTACATATACAATGATAGTTTTTAAATTTATACATAGTAGACACATAATTAAATTGACTTACCTACTTCTAAGCTTGTTTCAGATTGTTTTTATAACTTATTAAAACAAAAATTGCTTTTTGTTTAGGTTTCTTATTATTTCAACTTCCTCTGATTAGACTTTTTACTCTGGCTAAATCATGACAACTTTTTTTTTTTTAAATTAGACTCTAAAAGAGCAAAAGGAAGCAAAGCACACGTACAGTTGGCTTATGAAGAGGCTTTAAAAGATGGATATGTACAAGTTTACCATGGGCGTATTATACTGGTTGGTCAGGATCGTGCCGGTAAAACCAGTTTGAAGAAGAGTCTTTTAGGCCCTCCATTTGACCCCAAAGAACAGAGTACTGAGGGGATTGAAGTGGATCCTTCAAAATGTGAAATTGATGTTGACCAAGCTGTCAAAAACTGGCAGTTGAGCAGGGAGAGTAAACCAGGACTATTGGAATGTTCAAAAGATTTAGCAAAGATTGTGGCAGACAAAATGTGTGGAGCAGATATTTCTCGAAAGAAAATCGTAAAGGAAGATACAATTGATGGAGGAAAACTGAAATTAAAAGATGAAGTTGGAGATGTTTTCAAGTCAAAGCAGGTTTGAGAGTTTTGTAAAGTGTTGAGAATGTAACATCTCTCTCTCTCTCTCTCTCTATAACTCTTTTTGTTTTAGGAAGAGCCAGGAAAGGATGAAAGGAAGAATTAAGGAAGAGGAGGGAGGAAGGCAGCCAAATTAGCCTCATGAGAAAATATATTTTTTAAAGGAATATGAGTTGGATTTAAACTTGATATGTTTCAAAATTCTTTTCTTTATGAAAATTCTAAATTTCTTACATTCAGAATATGTCTGAAAGAGTCTGTTTCTTTTGGATGTTTTGACTAGTGTTTAGATAGATGAGTCTAGAAAAAGAAAAAGATCTGCAAGTAATTTTTATTTATTTAATAACTATCTTCACTGAAGGCATACATGCAAAACTTTTACCATAAAAATGAGGGGCTTAGTTTGGTTTAGTAGAAGTTAAATTATAAACCTCATTTTTTCCATTTTTGGTTCAATGGTTATAATGCCAAAGCAAGTTAGTTTAAGTTACTCACCTTTAATGACTTCTTTTATTTTTGTTCTGACAGTTTCCCATGAATGAAATGGAATTTCTTTCTAAAGAAGAGTTAAGAAGAAAGATGTTAAGATCTTTGGGAGGAAAGAGTTTAGATCTCAGTGTGCAAAGTTTGCATGAATTGCCTGCAGCTTTGTTTGGATTTACTGAGTTGGAGGAACTTGACCTGTCATGGAATAAACTTACAACAATACCTGAAAGTATCGGAAAGCTAAAGAATCTTATGAAACTTGATGTGAGTCTAAACAAGCTGTCCATATTCCCTACAAGTTTGACTCAACTAAAAAAACTCAGAGTGCTGAACATCAGAGATGACAATCTAACCACCATCCCTGATGCTATTGGGGATATGGTGGGGCTGGAGGGACTGAAGCTGAGTGGCAACCAGTTGACTGTGTTGAGTCCAGCTATAACACAGCTGAAGAAACTCAAAGTGCTGGACATCTCATATAACAATCTAACCTCCATCCCTGATGCTATTGGGGAGATGGTGGAGCTGGAGAGACTGGTGCTGAGTTACAACCGGTTGACTGTGTTGAGTCCAGCTATAAAACAGCTGAGGAAACTCAGAAAGCTGTACATCTCAGATAACAAACTAACCACCATCCCTGATGGTATTGGGGAGATGGTGGAGCTGGAGAGACTGTGGCTGATGTTCAACCAGTTGACTGTGTTGAGTCCAGCTATAAAACAGCTGAAGAAACTCAAAGTGCTAGACATCTCATATAACAATCTAACCTCCATCCCTGATGCTATTGGGGAGATGGTGGAGCTGGAGAGACTGGTGCTGAGTTACAACCATTTGACTGTGTTGAGTCCAGCCATAAAACAGCTGAAGAAACTCAAATGGCTGTACATCTCATATAACAAACTAACCACCATCCCTGATGGTATTGGGGAGATGGTGGAGCTGGAGAGACTGGGGCTGAGTGGCAACCAGTTGACTGTGTTGAGTCCAGCTATAAAACAGCTGAAGAAACTCACTC